AAAAGTTTTTCTGTTCTCCCCTCCCAGTATGGAGGGACCCAGTACAGCCTCGTGGTGTTCAACACAGTGGACTGCGCTCCCGAGTCCTATGTACAATGTCACGCTCCCACCAGCAGCGCCTATGAGTTTGTCACCTGGCTCGATGGCATTAAGTGAGCTTTTCCCCCACTTAGGGTGGGTTGGGGTTCCTGTGAGGGGCCGTGAATGAGGGATGGCTTGGGTTTGAGCTGCAGGAAACATCTCATACATGAAGCGATTGAAAGGACTTTGAGGGTGATTGTGTTTTTGTCAGAAGTCACTTTTGTGGCTTCTGTGTGCTCAGCAATGTTGCCAACCAGTTTAGAAGTAGGAAAAACTTCCCATTCAGGGAGGCCTGGCTGAGCTCCAGCAGCCACCTTGTACTTCCTGTGTGATTGTCCCCTTTCTGTCCTCTCTTTTTCTATCTACCCCGTTCTCCTTTTCCAGGTGGGTACATTGTAGTCTCAATGCAGGAGGATGGGTCAGAGCCAGGATAGATCCCTCTGTGGCTTGAATCAGACCTTTTTTTTTTTTTTTTTGAAACAGAGTCTTGCTCTGTCTCCCAGGCTGGAGTACAGTGGCAGAGTCTTGGCTCACTGCAACCTGCACCTCCCGGGTTCAAGCGATTCTGCCTCAGCCTCCTGAGTAGCTGGGATTACAGGCACACGCCACTACGCCCAGCTAATTTTTTTTTTTTTTTAGTAGAGACGGGGTTTCGCTATGTTGACCAGGCTGGTCTCGAACTCCTGACATCACGTGATCTGCCTGCCTCAGCCTCCCAAAGTGCTGGGATTACGGGGGTGAGCCACTGTTGCGGGATTGAGGAGGACAGGAGAGAGTCTGCCGCTTAAAGCAAGGGAATCTTTCATTGAGTACACTCAGGCCCAAGCAGACTCACGTCCAAAGACGGCCTGGAACAAAGACAGCACTTGACTTTTATACACACTTCACAAAAGGGGGTGGGCTAGCTTGAAGCAAACTTACAGTGGCGTGAAAGCAGGGATACAGAGGCAGGACAAAGACAGTTAATCAAATTGTTGTAACAGGTTTATAACTCAGGATTACACGTAACCGTTGCTATGCAACCCAGATGTCCGTTATCTAGGTTTGCCTAGGCACGGGCTTATCCCATAACCTTCACTGTGGTGCCCAGGCAGCTCAGGCTTCTCATGACCTTCACTGTACTTCTTAGATAAAAGAGAATACTTGAAGTCATTAGTTACAGAGAACAGAAATCTATAAACTCATTCCATAAAACAAAGGAAAATTTGTTTTTTCTTCTCCCTATGTTGAGGGAGTGCTGGGAGAGTCTCCAAGAGCACATTAGATAATATTATCAAAACTTTTCCTGGGTCTGGGCTGTGTCTGTTGCTGCCTCTCAGGCAAGTCAGCCTAATACAGTAAAACTTATTTTTCTTTCTTTTTAATTTTATTTTTCTTTAATTTCCTGCCTTAACACCACACCTGGCGCTGGATCAGATTTTGATAGTTGACATTGTAGACTCTGGAGTCAGGCAGTCTGGGGTCAAATCCTGGCTCTTCCACCACAGAACTAACTCTCAGACCCAGGAGTCCATGTCCCCCCTGTGCCTAGTATCTCATCTCTGAACTGGGGATGTGGATAGTACTTGTATTAGTATTTCATTGTATTATTCTTAGGTGCATAACAGATTACCACCAAACTAACGACTTCATACTGCAAACATTTATCTAATGCAGTTTCTGTGAGTCAGGGACACAGGAGTGGCTTAGCTGGATGATTCGACTGAGGGTCTCACAAGGCAAGAGTCAAGAGGTCGGCAGGATTGCAACCATCCAGGGGGTTTGACTGGCGGTGGGGAATCGGCTCCCAAGGTGGTGAGTCTGTGGCTGTTGGCCGCAAGACCTCTCCACGGGGCTGCTTAAGTGTCTGACATGGCAACTGGCATTCCTCAGATTGAGTGACCCAATAGAGACAGCAAAGAGGAAGCCCCAGGCCTCTTTTTGAGGAAGGATTTCACTCTGTCACCCAGGCTGGAGTGCAGTGGCTCAGTCATGGCTCACTGCAGCCTCGACCTCCTGGGCTCAAGCTCAAGTGATCCTCCCACCTCAGCTTCCCAAGTAGCTGGAGTTGCAGGGACTGTAGCCAAATGCCAGCACACCTGGCTGATTTGTTAAAAATTTTTTTGTAGGTCGGGCGTGGTGGCTCATGCCTGTAATCCCAGCACTTTGGGAGGCTGGGGCAGGTGGATCACCTGAGGTCAGGAGTTCCAGACCAGCCTGACCAACATGGAGAAACCCCGTCTCTACTAAAAATACAAGCGCTCCTCCTGCCTTGACCTCCTTAAGTACTGGAGTGCTGAGATTACAGGCCTTAGCCGGGCATGGAGGCGCATGCCTGTAATCCCAGCTACTCAGGAGGCTGAGGTAGGAGAATAGCTTGAACCCGGGAGGTGGAGGTTGTGGTAGGCCAAGATCACACCATTGCACTCCAGCCTTAGCAACAAGAGTGAAACTGTCTTAAAATAAAAAAAATTAAAAATAAATTTTTTTTTGTAGTGGCTGGGCATGGTGGCTCATGCCTGTAATCCCAGCACTTTGGGAGGCCAAGGCGGGCAGATCACCTGAGGTCAGGAGTTCAAGACCAGCCTGGCCAACATGGTGAAACCCCGTCTTTACTAAAAATAAAAAAAAAAGCCGAGCGTGGT